CTTATTTTTCTTCTTCATGTTGTGCCATTACTATTGCCGCCGTCGTGCTTCTCTCAACCCATTCTTCTTCTTCTTCTTCTTCTTCTTCTTCATATCGCTTTGCTACCATAATCATCACTGCCATCGTCGCTACCACCGTGCTCCTCTTAACCCATTCTTCTTCTTCTTCATATCTCGTTACTACCATAATCATCACTGCCATCGTCGCTACCACTGTGCTCCTCTTAACCCATTCTTCTTCTTTTTCGCATCGCACTACTACCATTGCCATCGCTACCATCACACTTCTCTTCTACCACCATGACCTCCTTCCATCGCAATTCTTCTCCCTCTTGCTTTGCCGCCGCTTCTTCTTCTTCTTCTTCTTCTTCTTCTTCTTCTTCATTTTCTTCTCATTTATTCCAAAACCCAATGAAGTCCTAGATCTAGGGTTTCGAGATGAAGAAGAAGAAAGTGGTAATGGATGGATGAGATGAGGTGGTGTGCGTTAGGAGGTAGCAATAACTCCAACTACTCCAGTAGCAACCATGGGTGAGGGGGTAGAAATGGGTTTAATTGAATGTATTGGGGTGCTCAACCAAAAAAAAAAATCAAAAATCAAATTCAAAATTATGATTGACATGCACAAAGAAATAGAGTGTCCAACTAATATTTTGGACTGCATTTAGACCCAAGGCCACCAAGTTTAAGCAAATGGTACTAGGTTGGGTGGTACTAGGTTGGGAAGTTAGAAGTATGTAAATTGGTGTGACTTGCAAGATAAATTATATGGTAGTATGGTTCTACTAGGTAACTGTGTGTTTCATAAATTATAAACTTCGTTTTAAAATTTAACATATTTTTAAATATTTTTAAATTTGATTTATTTATATTTTAAATTAATTTTAAATGAGTTTTAATTGAGCCGATCATGATATGATTTTGAGTTGTTTAGTTACATAGGAAAATTCTATAGTACACACGCATCTTTGGTTATGACCATTGTGATTTTTAGTTATTACATATTGTGGTGTTAGTTATCACATTATTTTGGTTATTATCCAAGAGCCTTTTGGTTATATCTTATGGGTGATTTTTTTTTTTTTTTCAAACATTGTATGACTCACATAGGATTGAGTTATGATATTTGTGATAATCACACCCACAAATGTCATGAGGGTGTGCACTGTAATATTACCCTTGTTACATAATTTGCTAATTTTATATTATGAAAGAAGATAAAAAGATGACATGTGAGTTGTACAAGTCCTTTTTTTATGCCTAAAATGTCTATTCAAGAATTAATTCTCATTCAACATATAAGTGTTTGGGTGTGCAAGGTGCATACCATATATATGCACTTGCATAAGTTTTCACAAATATACATAAGTTACCTCACAAAATTGCGTAAATTCTTACAAATCTACGTAAGTTGTGATTTCTCAAATTTTTATGGGTTAACGTACGTATGTTTGTAAAACCTTACGCGATTTTGTGAGATAATTTACATATATTTGCCAGAACTTATGCAAGTGCATATGGTACACTTAAGAATTGCTCATAGTTTATATATATTCAATAGAAATGTATAAAATTTTTCTTTGATTATAAAATTAACAAGTGTATATTTTCTTTCACATATTTTTGTATAAGAGAAGATAGAGGCAAACATATAAACTATGAAGTACAAATATAGACACAAGACATGACACAGACACGTGAATATGCAAATTTTTAAAAAAATAGAGAACATGGCACGCTAGGGACACACTCAATATATATAATTTTATTTATTTATTATATGTAAAATTAAAAAATATATATTATTTTTATTATTTATTTATTTACTTTAATATCAAATATCATTCACAAATTATTTTTTTTCTACAAATAAAAATAATTTATTCTATATATGTTAATGTTTAGCAAACAAGAATATCCACAAAAAAAAAAGGAAAAGAAGGGAAAAAAAAGTTTTTGTTACCAAAAAAAAAAGTAGTATAAAAAAAGTTCATCATCAGAGAGAGAGAGAGAGAGAGAGAGAGAGAAAGAGCAAAGAAAAAATGAATAGAGAGAGAAAGAGAAAGTGAAACATGCAAAGAAGGAGGGAGAGAGAGAGAGACAGAGAGAGTTGAACACACAGAGAAAGCAAGAGAGAAATAGTCGTGATTTGGGGTTTGTGACTGGCTGGAACGCATCAACTTACAATTTCAACCTCAATCTCGACTTTCAAGACATTCTTGTAATCTGGGTTATGAATCTTGGATTGATTCGAGTTCACAAATGATTCGTGTGCTTGAATCAAATCTGGGTTTGATTTGTTTGTTCAATTTTGCCTAGATTTCGCACCAATCTACAAAGTTGACTTTGATTTTCAAGCAATCTAGGCTGCACGAAGTTGTTCTTAAACTCGAATGATGTTGGGTAAATGCTTTAAATTCTCTCTTTTTCCAGTTTCTTACTTCGGCTTCACTCTCTCTCTCTCTCTCTCTCCCTCCCAAACATATCCATAACGTGTCCAATAGTGTCCCAATTTGTCTGGCTACGAAAATTCAAAAAAAAAAATAAAAATGGGGGGGACACGTTAGGTAGAGTGTCCGACACGTGTTCGACACCCATATAATGCCTTTATAGAAGTGTCCATGCTTTATAGGATATACATATCAGTGAATGCTACAGTTAAGAAAAGTGGATAAAGTGTCTTTTCAATTTTTTATTTAGATGAATAACATAGATATTACAAAGTGTCTCACTGATTCATCAATTTTGATAAGAAATTGAACATTAGGAGTGTAAAAATGACCCGCGGCCTGTGGGTGCCCCAAAGCCCACTCATGGCCTGGGGTGGGCCCAGCTCGTTTAGGCCCGTTTGGGCCCGAGCCTGAGCCCAACCCGAGACCTTAGGCTTGGGCCTAGGCCATCATTTTGAAGCTCGGCTCAACCCGTGGCTTAGCTCATCGACCTACTTCAAGCCCACTCAAGGCCCGGCCTGCCTGAGGCCCAGTGTCTTTTTTAGTGGACAATAATAAAATTTTAGTTGAAAAAATAATAACAAACAAAAAAATTTGTTCAGGGCCGCCCAAGCCTGGCCCAAGCTCGATCCCAGGCCCACCGCCCCGCCCAAGGTTCAAATACCCCCTGGGCTTAGGCTTGGGCCTGGGCCTAATTTTCTGGCCCGTGGGCCAGCCCGGCCCGAATTTTGGCAGGAGCCTACGAGGCCCGACATGGGTCGGCCTAAGCCAAATTTACACCCCTGTTGAACATGAGTTTTGAGAAAATTTCTCTTCCTCTGGTCATTTCATACAATTTTTTACACCTTCAATAATCTAAATAAGTACTAAGACTTTTTTTTCCTCAGTTTCTTTTATTTTCTCGTATCATCTCAACCCAAATGGGGTGTGTGTGTGATTACACATGCTTAAGGGAAGCTAGGTTATTTTTTATTTTTTTTGATCTTGTAAAAACATTAGTACATAAAAGGATAAAGGGATGAAGAAATAAAGCTCAAACCCAAGAACTGTGTCTTAGGAAAGGATTCCCTTGTCCCTACCAATAGGGCTGAGCCAAGCTTCAGGAGTTATAATTAAATATGCCCACATAATATTATTTGAAAAGGAATGGCTTTTCTCTAATTGTACTTTCAACTGGACTAGACAATTGCGATTTTTTATCCGTAAGAATCATTAAACGAAGGTTTCTTACCAGTAAGAGTCTTTTTAGGCTATGATATTTATCAGCGTACTATTCTTCATATTAGTTAGTCAATTGAATTTGCCTCCAAAGTCCCTGATGAAATTCTCGATAAAACTCAGTTACAACGGTTTTTAGGATCATTAAATTACATTGTTGAATTCTACAAAGACCTTAGGAAAACTTGTCAACCACTTTTTGATCGGTTGAAAGATAATCCTCCTCCTTGGTCTTCTACTCATACTGCTATTGTTCAACAAGTCAAAAAATATGTCAAGACTTTGCCTTGTCTTGGAATTCCTACTGAAAATTCTTTCAAAATTATTCAAACTGATGCTTCTGATATTGGTTATGGTGGTATTCTCCTTTAGAAGCTCACTCCTAAGTCATCTGAACAAATTGTTCGTTTTCATTCTGGTGTTTGGAATAAAACACAGAAAAATTATAGTACTATTAAAAAAGAAATTTTATTTCTTGTTTTATGTATTACTAAATTTCAAGATGATATTTTAAATCAACGATTTTTGCTACGTGTTGAATGTAAAAGTGCTAAATATGTTTTGGAAAAAGGTGTTCAAAATATTGCTAGTAAACATATTTTTTCCCGATGGCAATCTACTTTGAGTATTTTTTGTTTTGATATTGAATATATACCTGGTAGTCAAAATTTTATTCCTGATTTCCTTACCCGTGAATTTTTACAGGGTGGATAACAGATGGCCACTCCTTTCATTTCCTACCATAAAACTCCTTTTATCTCTTACTATAACTGCTTTCCTGATTTTACTCTTACCAGTAAGAATATTTGAAAAAATTTAAATGGGTCATATTTTCATAGACTCTTACTTGTAAGAAACCTTTGTTTAATGACTCTTACTGATAAGAAACCGCAACTATTTGGTTCAGTTGAAAGTTCAATTGGAAAGAAGCCAAATCCTATTTGAAATTTGTTAATTGCAAATTTTTCTTTGCACTTCTTTCGATTTTCCTTCCTACGCAAAGGTGTGATCCCCAACTTTCCCATTGTCCCATTCTTATTCGAAGGAACATATCCCTCATTTGCCTCTTTTGGAAAAGAAGACTTGGCCATTCCTTCAAGAACACCGCTACTTCCCCTAGACATACTTATAAAGGAAAATTATTCTTATGTTGCTATTTATTTAACCAATTGAAAACATTTTTTTTCCCTTAATCATTCTAACAAGTAATAAAGTTCTCTTTCTATTCATTTCTTTTGTTTTCCCTCACATCTGTCAATCTAAATGCCCCTTTAAGTAATTACAGATGTAAGGTCTAGGGAAAAAAAAATGATTAAATATGCAAAGATAATGTCTCTTCAAATTGTCAATTGTTTGGATATCAACTTGTGTGAAGGAAAACATCTCAAAATTCTACAGAACTTAAAGAAATTTGTATCAAAATGTTCTTTGAATCAATGGGAAGGAAAACATCTAATACGCAAAATGAGTTCTAAACATCTGCTATGATTTGAACAATCTTTTTTCCAATGTTATCACCGCTAAAAAGTGCCATAAAAGCGATTGGAATGCTTTCCACGCCATGTGAAATGTCCTCGAGCACCTTCATTTTCCCATTGCGAAGGTGATCAGCAGTTGTTGAGAGGAAATCTGCATAAACATTCATTTGATCGGTGACTACGAAGCCTTGGATAGTGATTCTCTTATAAATAACATCAATCATGTCCGGTGCAGCTCGTTTTGTGACATCTGTGTACTCGGAGATTACCCCACAAACTGCAACTCTACCAAATGTGTTCATGTTGAAAACTGCAGCTTCAAGCATATTAGCTCCCACATTGTCAAAATATATGTCAATGCCATCAGGGAAGTACCTGTAAAATAAATAAATGTAGTATATAATAGCTTGAACTTCTTATGGAGAGAAGCTATTATTGTTTATAGGGTACTTTGGCCACATGTTCATTTTTAAACTTTTAGACCAATATGTCCAAGTTTTAGTCTTTTGGAGTTAAAATGATATCTATTTGTCTAAAAAGACATATTGTCCAAATCCTACCTATTTGTCTGTCCAAATGTCATTAATCTGTTCATCTATATATGTTGGAAGTGCTTCAAAATTTCCTTCTTGTTCCTTGTCCCACATTGATTTCTTATTAGTTTTCTTACACCTTTTATATGTAGACCTTTGTTATTGGGTAAGGGCCAAGGATGTGGGGGAGACTATGTAAGCTTTGGGCCATATGTGTGAAGTTCATATATATATATATATACACGCACGCACGCACGCGTGTTGGACTTCGACTTAGGCTGGGTGTAAGATAAGCTAATATAATATATATATATATATATATATATATATGCTTTTATTTTCCCTCTCATTGATTTTCTGTAAGATTTATTTATGTTTGCAATTAACTATAATTAAGCAATTAACTAGCCGTTTCATAATTCAAGGGATTTTGAATGATTCGTAATTCAAGGAACTTATTTGATCAAATCCTTGATTTATTCTTAACTTACTTTCAAGCTTGGAATTATATATATACATATTCCTAGTAGTTTAATATACAGAAAAAGTTCTCTTTTCTTCTCTGTTTTTCCCACACAATTTCTTTGTTTCATTGGGCTATTTCTTAGACAAGTTCAAGTCTTGCTTGGTGAGTGCACACCATCAAGACTCGCCCTTGTATCTTGCAGAACGACCGCCAACAGCCATTTGCACCAAGTGGGGTGAAATCGTTTCTTAAGGACAACAGATTGACTTCCATGCCTCGGTTCCATTCTTTCTCTATTATTTATTCTTCTTTTATCTTCTAGTATCTATGTCAGTTTGTTAATCAAGCAGAGTTTTTATATATTTTTCCAACAATCTTAAGAAATGATTTTGCATGATTAATAAACATGAATTTTGTTTCGGTTGTTTCTATTGTTCGTGATATGACCAAACTAGAACCCTTTAATGGAAATCACTACAAATGCTAGTCTAAAAAAAAAAAAAAAAGTCTATTTTTTCTCGAGTCTCTCAATGTTGATTACGTTCTGTTTAATGATCAAATTCCTAATGATGTTTTCAAACTAGCTCGTAGTGAATTCATTAACTTGTATGACAAAGATAACAAAATCTGTTGTAGTCATATTTTGAATTTTCTTTCCAACTCTTTGTTTGACATATATTGTGGTTACAAATCTGCTAAAGAAATTTGAGAATTTTTGAAAAGAAAATATTCAATAGAAGATGCAGGTACAAAGAAGTATGTAGTGAGTAGATTTTTAGACTTCAAGACAAATGATGAAAAATCTGTCATGGAGCAAATTCATGAATAACATAATATAGTTCATAACATTTTGGTCGAATGAATGAAGTTAGATGACACCTTTTAAGCTACGACACTTATAGAAAAGTTGCCACTATCTTGGAAGGATTACAAAAATTCTCTCAAGCACAAGAAAAAGGACCTCAGTTTGGAAGAAGTTATTGTTCACGTTCGCATTGAAGAATCCAACCGGATGAAAGACATAAATGAATATGCTCATGAATTCACATGAAAAGAAAATGTGGTGGAGGTGAAAAATGCAGCAAAACAACATAATCACCATCATTCACACTCTGGGAGGAACTTCAACAAAAAATATGTGAAGAAGAACAACAACAATAACTACAATAATCACAACCCCAACAATCATTTCATAAAATCGGATGGAGTTTTGAAGAAAGAGAGAGGATCTTGCTTCGTGTGTGGTAAGATTTGTGATCATGCTTCGTAATACAACAACTGAAAAGGCAAAGAATGTCGCTAACAGAAACCACAAGCGAACTTGACTAAAACTGAAATAATAGCAATGGTTGTGTTTGAAGCAAATCTTGTTGGCAATATAGTTGAATGGGTGGTAGACACTGGGGCTACCCACCATATTTGTAGCAATAGAAATATATTTGCTACATATGAGTCTATTGGTGATGGTGAACATGTTTACATGGGAAATGCTAGCACTGCTTGTGTGGTTGGTAAGAGAAAAATTCTACTTAAACTCATTTTCGGTAAAACTCTTTACCTAAATGACACTTTTCATGTGCCGGATATGCATAGAAATTTAATTTCTGGATCCCTTCTTAACAAGGTTGGTATTAAATTCGTGTTTGATTCTGATAAACTAGTGCTAACTCATAATGGGGATTTTGTGGGAAAGGGATATTGTAATGGGGGTTTATTTGTGCTGAATGTTGTCTCTAAAAATGCTAATAAAGCTAGTACTTCCTTTGCTTATATTGTTGAGCCTATTGATTTGTGGCATGCTAGATTAGGGCACGTAAATTATGCTTCAGTTAAAAGAATGAGACAATTAGATGTAATTCCATATTTTAAAAAATGTGACACATCCAAGTGTGAAATTTGTGTAGAAGCTAAATTTACTAAGAAACCTTTTAAATCTGTAGAAAGGAATTCAAAAGTACTAAAGCTTTATACACAGTGACTTGGGGGACTTTAAAAATTATATGAGCAGAGGAAGTAAAAGATACTACATAACCTTTGTAGACGACTAATCTAGATTCACTGAGGTATATTTGTTAAGAAATAAAGATGAAGCAACTGAGCTTTTTTGAAATAGAAGGCTGAAGTTGAAAACCAACTAGGTAGGAAAATTAAAAGAGTTAGATCTGATCGGAGAGTGGAATATGATAGCAATCAACTTAAATTGATGGCATAATTCATGAAACCATTGCACCTTACACTCCTGAACAAAATGGGATAGCACAAAGGAAAAATAGATCACTTAAGAATATGATGAATGCAATTCTAATTAGCTCTGGACTACCTTCTAATATGTGGGGGGAAACAATATTTTCAACATGTCACATTTTAAATAGAGTTCCACATAAAAGAATGCGTAAAACCCCTTACGAACTTTGGAAAAAACATGCACCAAATCTAAAATATCTTAAAGTGTGAGGGTGTTTAGCCAATGTCGGACTTCCAAGTATTAAAAGAAGTAAAATTACTCCTAAAACCGTAGACTGTATTTTCATTGGTTACGCTCTAAACAATGTTGCCTATAGATTTATTGTAATAAAAGGTGAAAAAGATATTATGGAAGCCAATAATATAGGGGAGGCCAAAGATGCAGAATTTTTTAAACATGTATTTCCTGTGAAACAACCAATTCCTAAACAAATTCATGTAGCTATTTGGCCTAGTCTTAAGACCGAGGAAACATCACAAGATTTAAGACGTAGTAAGAGACCAAGAGTGGAAACTAGTTTTGGACTAGATTTTGTAACTACATTTATCATTGAAGAAGATCCTAAAACTTATGACGAAGCCATTAAATTTGTAGACGCCACTTTCTGGAAAAGTGCTACAAATAGTGAACTGGAATCTATAATGGCTAACCATATTTGGGAATTAGTCGACTTGCCTAAAGGATTTAAAACCATAGGCTGCAAGTGTGTGTTTTAGAAAAAATTAAAAGCTGATGGATCAATAGATAAATTTAATGCTAGACTAGTTGCTAAAGGCTACACACGAAAAGGAGTAGATTACTTTGACATATATTCCCCTATAACTAAAATTTTCACTATTAGAATGTTAATTGCAATAACGTCTATACATAAACTAGTTATTCACCAAATGGACATAAAAATAACATTTTTAAATGAAGATTTAGAAGAAGAAATTTATATGGATCAACTAGAAGGTTTTGTAATTCAAGGACAAGAACAGAAAGTATGTCGACTTATAAAATCTCTATCTGGTAATCACACAAGAAGTACCAAAGCATTTGTTATAAACACAACTATCTGACTCGTTTACTACAAATCCATTTGGTATTAATGTTTTGTCAAGTTTTTCGTGCCATTGTTTAGGAGCTTCTTTCAAACCAAATAGAGATTTTACAAGTCTACATACTTGACAAAACATTAATACCAAATGGATTTGTAGTAAACGAGTCAGATAGTTGTGTTTATAACAAATGCTTTGGTACTTCTTGTGTGATTATATGCTTATATGTAGATAATATGTCGATTATGGGTATTGATTTATGCATTGTAAACGAAACATTCTTTGAATTTGGACATGAAAGACTTAGGAGAGGTAGATGTTATCTTAGGGATCAAAGTGATCCACAAATCAACAGGCTTAGTGTTGTCACAATCACATTATGTTGAAAAACTCAAAAAAAATGATACCCTATTAAAACTCCATATGATCCTAGCCACCATTTTAAAAAGAATAAGGGAGATAGCTTTTCACAATTTGAATATGCCAAATTCATTGGTAGCATTATGTATATAATGAATTGTACCAGTGGTTATGTGTCTACTCTTAGAGGTTGTGTCATATCATGGAAATCAACCAAACAAACTTGTAAAGTCTCTTCTACTATGGAATTTGAATTTGTTGCTCTAGAAATGGTAGGTAATGAAGGTGAATGGCTAAGGAATCTCTAGCTAATATTCTCGTATGGGAGACACTACTCCTATCTGTGGGGAAGTATTTTATGAATGACAGCACGTGGCTAAGATGATGTCGAAATGTCAGCCGAAGTGCCACGTGGTCGAGATGATCTCGACTAGGCCGAGATTATCTATAGAGATACCGGAATCCAAGATGAGCAAATAAGGGACAAGAGTCCTAGAACAATGGAGGATCTCAGTTTGGATAAGGATAAGGCTCAAGAAGAGTTTGTCTCTATCTAGCTGAGGGTCCAAGATGAGCATTGAGCCTACGTCCATTGAAGTGAGGTTTCTAAAGGAATTAGGTCATTGCTGGTTATAAAAGCATGGCATCCTCGTGGGCCTGAGGTAAGTTCCTTCTTGTGAGTTTTGAGTACTATTTGTTATTTGTGAAAGATACTGATTACTGACTTGATCGTTGGAGTGCCCCTTAGTGGTGAACCACCGCAGTATTCTCATTTTCTTGTTATAGGTTGTTGGGCTTAATCTATTCTGCAAGTGCTCTCCAGCTAAGTTCCCCTTTTGGTTGTGTGGTCGAAAATCAACAACCATAATTTGGCACCGTCTAAGGCAACTTAAGGAGAATAGATGGCCAATAACGGGCAGGAAGAAAAGATTGGGGACGATATCTACAATGTGAGTGGTGAACATGTAGATCCTAACATCGGGGAGGAAAACCATAATGAAGGAGCACAAGATTTGAATCCTGGGGAGAAGGACGTCAGCAAAGAGGGTAATGCCCTGAAGAAAGCTGGCCGAGATGAGTATTATAACGAAAGTGACCTCCAAGTGTGGAAGGATAGATGCTTGAGGAGGGACGACGAGATGAAAGGGATGGCAAACAAGTTGGCAGACCTACAGTCAGTTGTCAACTTCATGATGCAAAACAACGTGATGCAACCATCATTCCCGTTGCAGGACACGCTGGTACTAGCGGCCAAGACTAATGCCCAAAAAGGGGGGCAGAAAACAATCCTAATAGTCCCACAGCATGGCAGGAGAAATGAGAGCTCACATCGACCGTCACGGGATGTCGGGCAAATTCTGTCAGTAAAATGTGAGTCACAGAAGATGCCTCAAACCAAGGGGACCTATGTCATAGAATCTCGGCGTATCCAGGGAAAGGGCCTGTGTTTTGACACAGTAAATGAAGAGAAATCCAAGAGGACACACAATGACACTGGGAGCAGCGCACCAAAAAGGCTAAAATATGTTGATAGTTGAGCTCCCGGTTAAACGAAGGAGGATTTGAGAGACTACCT